TAAGCGAACGATCGCAGAGGATTGCTATCGGGCGAGATATATAAAATTGCGCAAAAACTGAATTTTCTATTAAGGTAAGAGCAGCGCGATAGAGATCGAGTTCTCGTGATTCGCGCGCGTCTAAAGGTCTACCGCGCAACGTCCGCAAAGTGCGTGGCCTCTCTTGGTCCGTCTTAATTACACTTTTCGATGAAAAACACCTGTTGAGTGCCCCCCTCCCGCCTGGCAGATGCGATACGCCGATTATCGCAACGAACGCCGAGATCGCGGCTTTTTTGTTTACATCTCGCTTGTCGAGACCGGGGCGTAGTACAACGGTTAGAAAAAAAAAGAACTTGCTAATCACGCTACTTAATCGACGCGAGCTCATCGAGCGAGAGCGCCTCGATCTCTCCGCGATATAAAAGCCCAGCGCTTTTACGATCAACCGTTCGCGTTTTCCACGATGATTTCTCAACGCGATTCGCCGATTTCTTCTGCGCAACAAACATTAACGCGAAACAGAGGCGACATTCAACCGTTTTGATACTGGCCATAATTTATCTAGTTTATCTAACGCTGGAAGGACTCCAGAGTATCTCCGTTATCGGAGAACTGGATTTGTGGGTTGGGCGACCCGGTGTTACAAAAAGCCACGTGTCGTCGCGGTATTTTTAGCATCTATTATGATTCCGCGGAGAAAACGATTCCGTGTCGCACCATGTGCGGCCGTTTGGGGCGAACTTGAGACTTCTAAGGCCCGCGTCCGCGATGCTGGAACTTGGTCCAAGTTCTCGTTCCGCGAAATGTGTAGCCAATAAACTTGCAGCTTTTATGGAATAGCTGCAAGCCGATTGGCTGCACTATTCTCGAAACTAGAACTTGGGCCAGGTTCCGGGCATCGTGGACCTTTAGACCGGCAGTCTGAATTAGGCGGGTGTCTCGCGCGTACGAGCGCGACTAGCTCCGCTCTTTATTTTCAGATCACGATCCTCTTTACGGAGAGCGGACATTTGTATAACTAAACCTAGGTTCAAAAGCGATACGTTGCGCGAGTCCTGTCGGCGATTGAGTAGTCGTTATGGTCGCGGTCAGCGTAGACGCATGAAAAACCAAACTGCTGAATGGATCTCGGCTGTTGACGAAGGTCTCCCTACGAGATATGCATTGCTAGGGGGAATCACGACGCGTGTTTACATAACTTATTTAAAAGGGACAATCTTTATCTCCGGAGAAGCGTTCTGCCCTAATGAGGAAAAGTCTTAACTTAAGAGAAAATAAAAGTCGAATCCACGTGTCCATGTTACAGTTTCTGGGATCATTTTTTAGAGTTTTTCTAAATAAAAAAAGTCTTAGGCCGGTATTCATAGTTTGTTCTTATATTTAAGCTCGTCTTGAGTATACTTTAATGTGTTTTTAGCCAATCACAGAGCCGTATGTTGCTTCTTAAGACAACGCTTGAGATGATTTTGAAATAAGAGTCGATTATGAATACCGGCCTTTAAGTTACACTCCTAAATGTTTTTAAACTGGTAACAAAATTTAGGCCGATATTCATAGTCAGACTTTACACTCGAGATCTTGAAAATTTATCTAAAGATACTGTATGGAATGTGTTATTGGCTACGGAGTATCTAAAGATGGACTTGAATACAAGATCTGACTATGAGTATCGGAAAAAGGAAAATACCTATTTTGATGCAAAAATGCACAGATTAAGGTATTCTCCCTCAAATTGAATAAATAATAGGACCTTAACATGTTGATGCGATCTGAACTAAATGCTGAATTTCATCGTCTTGAGAAATTTTCATTTTTGGAGTCGAGACTGTTCTTGGCAGGACAGCGTTCTACTTCCAGCCGAAGACACGTACACAGAAAAAAAGTCAGATCAACTCTTATGTACTCAAATTAACGCGTTCGTCGTTTTGTATATATACGCGACAATCTATAATCTTCTTAAAAGCATTCAATCTTACGTTTCAACCATATTACAGCCTTATTTAAATACTGTAATTGCCGCTTCAAAAATACGTAGAATTCTTTTGACAATAAAATTATTTTAATCATTATAACCTTCGATTTTAAAATATGTATTAGCTTCCATCCAATAGTGTTACCTATCCATTCAAGAGAATTATACTTAAACAATAAGCATATATTTTCCTTGCTTAAATTATATTAAATTGCTTCATTCAAGTAAGTCTTTCTTGTTTTAAACGCAATATAATCTCGTTTCAAGATTTTCATGTTGAAACTAAACCTATTTTCAAAAGAAGAACATTCCTTTTTTTCTGTGTAGCTCGCGACAGGATGTATTTTACGAAAAGAATCTGCTGCCACGTCTCTCGGATGTCCGAACATTCGGGTATCAACCACCTCGATTGTCCCCGGACGTGCCAAGGAGCATATCGACCGATCTCTTTGGCTAATATGACATTTGTCGTACGACAAATTTTGCAAACGTGTTGATTGACTGCTAAATAGAAAATTTCTAGATACTCGAAAATTTTACTATCCTACAGCTAGTCAACGCGCTTAAAAAATTTGTCGCGCGACAAGTGTAATACCAGTCTCTCGCATGGTCGTATCTCGACATTTTCGTAATTTCCTGCTCAAACATTCATTCTGGATCAGAATGAATGTTTAAGCAGAAAAACCGGAAATTATGAAAAAAATAGGAGATACGACCTTGCGAAAAAGATCAGACAGAGATATTTTTCGTAAGGTCCCCCTCGCCAGCCACGTGTATCTTTTACAAACGCTGCGTAACAAAAACTAGTTCTTTATAAATAAGTTATATAAACACGCGTCATGGTCTCCGTTCGCCTTAATGGCGCTTTCCATTCGCCTCCGTCTTGGTCGAGTCGAGAAAAGGCGAAATTCCGGCGCCCCGAGGGCAAGAGTCTCTCACCAGAGTCTCTCGCTCGAATCGCGGTTGCAAGTGCGACGTCACGAATATTGACTCTTGGGACTCGCCTGTTGACGCTGTCTCGAGCTGAGATTAGTTTCAACCGAGTTTCTCGGCGGAGAGACGCAGCGCGCGATGAACGCGCGCTGAACGTCCGTTTTTACCGATGTGCGACTAACTTTGGTCCCGGTTCAACATACTTTTCATCGTTTCCGAAGTTACAAGTGCGACATCACAAATATTGACTCTCGGGATTCGCTGTTGACGCTGTCTCGCTCCGAGACTAGTTTCAACCGAGTTTCTCGTCGGAGAGGCGCAGCGCGCGATGAACGTCCGTTTCCACCGATGTGCGACTAACTTTAGTCCCGGTTCAACTTACTCTTCATCGTTTCCTAGGTTGCTGAGAAAAGTTTTACTCGAGAGATGAATCGGAAACCCTCGAAAAGGATTCGGAATGGCCGTCGAGTAAAATTTTCCTCGGAGAAGAAGATCCTAGGACGTAGTCCTGACAATTGGCAAGAGATCAAAAGTACGTTAAACCGAGATTGAAATCGATCTGCATTGGTAAGGTCCGCCTTTCGCCAACGTCGCTAACTTGAATCTCAGCTTAATTCATTCTTTAGCTCTTTCTAGGGGACAGTCAGAAGGAGACGAAGAATGAATTAAGCTAATAGCGAATTCGGTTGCTTGCACCAGTGCGCACTGAGTGCACACTAAGGCTCGTTTACAGTCAATTCTTACATTTAAGAATCGTCTTAAATGTCTCTTGAAATATTTCTTTGCCAGTAAAATGATCTGTGTCGCATCCATACGGATCATTTTTTGGCTAAATACTTTTTGAACGTGTATTTAAGACAAAGCCGAATATAAAAATTGACTATAAACACTTTGCGTGCACTCAGTGCGCACCAGTGCAGGCAATCGAATTCGGAATGAGTTCAAACGACGTCGCTGAAATCGGGCCTAAATGTGAACGCTGGCCTCCCATTTTGGAACCGCGCGGTTCCGAGTTTCCTGTTTCCGGAAAACGCGAGGAAGCACGTTTGAAACGAACGCGCCCTTCGGTGCGACGAGAGCCGCCGCTTCGCACGAATCCCCGGCGGGAATTCGCGCGGACGCGGACAATCGGCACGGATTCGCTCGATCCACCGGTCGATCAACCGGCGGAACCGCTCGCGGCGAGGTTTCCAATACAATCTCGTGGTCCCTGATCGAAACTGCCCGACGAACAAACGTACGCGATTCCGTTCACGTTAACAAAATACGCGGCGTCGCTCGACAGGTCGGTCGATCAAGCTAACAGGGGCTCGACCGAGATCACCCTTCGGCGATTTAGGCCTTAATCTTAGTTTAATTCACGTTCGCCTCTTTCTAACGGACGAGGAACGAATTGAACTAGGCTTAAAGTTAAGCGACGTTGGCGGAACCGGGCATTAGATCCACTTCTACTTTCAGCAATGTAAATTGTAACTTTAATCTTGGTTCAACTCGTTCCTCACCTTTTTTCCAAAGCCCGATCTACAGTGTGCCGTTTGCATCTAGAAACCTACTGTCAAATCTGCTTGGTGGAAAATTCATTGTTAAATCGTACAACCCATGATTCCGTGATTTCCGTTTCACGCTCACCGCAATACTCCCTTTATCAGTTGCTGTATTAGATCACTGAAGACCCGGACGTGGGTCGAAACGTTTCAGCAAAAGACTATATGATCCACGTTTTAAACCGCTCCGCGATTATTGGCTCACATCTCGGCCTCCCCTCATCGATCCCTCATCGTTTCTGGAACCCTCGCCCCTCTTCTTGACCGTATGGTCGTCGCGAGAAAAGATTTGCGACTGAATTCGATGGAAAAACCCGCCGTCTCGTGTTAGAAACCCACCTGATAACCGAGGACTCTCCTCGCAACTCTCGGGAACAGGGAAAGGGGTAAGCAGGGTGATTCTAAATCGAGCGAAATCGACAATAGAATCTACGTAGCCCGAGGACGGTCCCACGGGCCCCCGAGATTCATCTCCGCGAGCTCAACTCGTCCGTGGCGAACCACTTCCGCCTCGCGCGATCTCTCCTTCTCCCTTTCACCCGCCCGCTTCCTCCGCTCCGTCGCCTTACCTTATTCTGCAGCTCGTCGATGAGCACGTAGACGAGCAGCGTGATCTCCTCCTCGTCGGAGCCGAGCGCGTTCCCCTGGAGGCCGGCGGTCGTCATGTACAGCGTCACCAGGACACTCTGCGAACCGCCACCTGCCTCCCCTCCTCCTCCTCCTCCTGCCGCCGCACCGCCGGTCCTCGCACCCGTCATCGTCGCCCGCGGGAGCCGCGCACCTGGCAGCTCCGAAACGCTCTCCGCTCCCGATTCCTCCCTTCCCTCCCGCCCCTTCTCTCGCCGCTGCCGCTGCCGCGCTGCCCTCTTCAAGCACTCGCGCGACGTCCCGCGACGCCGGGGACGTCCCTATCACTAATCGCTCACTAATTATCCGCCACGCACGACATTCTCTTTCTCTCTCGCGCTCTCTTTCTCTTCCTCGCGCGGGACGAACGGACGCACGGCGATTTGAGGTTATGAATCCGATACAGCGTCGACGGGCGGCGCACCTGGAGCGACCCGAAAAAGAGAGGAGTAAAAAAAAAAGTTGCCCCGGTCCGCTGTCCGTGCACTCGCGCAGGATCGATCCCGACGGCGGGTGCTCTCGTCCGTCTCTCTCTCTCGCTCGCTCGCTCGCTCCGTGTTCCCTCGGTCGGACGGAGCGCCGTCGAAAGTCGCAAGGTTCTTCGCAGCACTGACCGTGCGTCCCCCCGGCCGAGCGTAACGAGGCGAACACGTCGTCGTCGTTGCCTCACCTGGCGACTGCGCGTCGACGCGGCCCCTCTCTCTCGTTGGCCGGAGCCCCTGGCTCGCTCGGCGTCTTACCGCGCGCAGAGAGGGGAGGGAAGAGAGAGAGAAAGAGAGAGAGAGAAGGAAATGCTTATTGCGCGCCGTGCGGAAGGTGTTCTTGTCGGGCATACGGCAAAAACGAATTAATATCACGCGGAATTTCAATCGGCGTTAATGACGAGGTTACGTGCCGGTGTGCGTGAAGATATCGAGCGCTCGGGCGAGAGAGAGAGAGAGAAGAGGCACTTGTTGCGCGCCGTCGAACGGTTCTCTTTTCCCGTCGCGCGGCAAGTAACGAAACGAACAAATATCGCGCGGAATTTCGATCTGCGCTTAATGACGGGTTAGATAGGTGCTCGAGCTTGGTGCACGGGAACTGAACGGAGATAAAAAAAGAGAGAGAGAGAGAGAAGAGAACGTCCGTCGCGCGCACGCGGCGCCGAGGAAATATTCTGGAATAGTCCGCCGGCGTACGGGAAACGGGTCGCGAAAACGTGCCGCGACAACACCGGACGGAATTTGCGCCGAAGCGGCGCGGAGTCGATTCGGGGTCGAGACACGAGCCGCGATTTCGGCGGATCGTCGGATTTACCGTAGATCGGCGAGCGAGAGAGACGGGGCTACTCGCGTCGCCGCCATGTTAACCTGCGGCGAGCACCGTTCGTTGGGTTATTTACTCCTTCCGGCGCGAACTTCCGAAATACCGCGGTATAGGTGTCGCTCGAAAAAGCGTGACTGTATTTGGAATCGAGACCACCTGAAGAACGTGCGCGGAGAGGGGGCAGGAAAGAGAGGGGGAGCGTCGAGTAACCTGCCCGCTCGCTCCTCTTGTTCGCACGAAGAAGGAGGGGATCAGCGCGAGGGAGAGAGAGAGAGAGAGACTGAGGCGGGGTGGCAAGGGGGAACCGCGCAAAGGAGAGAGATGGCGAAGGGAAGAAATGGAGGCTACCTCGCGCGCGGATACACGCCGGGAAAGAGGAAGCGAGGACGCGCGAAAACGCGAGGGGCGCGGCGGGGAGGGTGGGAAAGCGCGGCGGTCCCTCGCTCGCGGATTTCCGTCGCTCGGCGCGGGGGCCCCCCTCGTCGGCGGGGATCGAGGCTGCGGAGGAAAATCGGCGCGACGGAGGGAAAGGCGCAAAAAGCTCGAAGCGGTCCGCGCCAGGTGCGCAGACGCTCCGCTCGCCGGCGCTCGCCGACTCGCCGAGTGTCACCCCGCTCGCTCCATCTCTCTGTCTCTCTCTCTCTGGGCCACTGGCCGCGTCCTGAACGTGTCGCCTCTCCTCTTCGCCTCGCCCCGCCGTGCGGCGTTACGCTCATGGAGGATCCGTGCGGCGTGCACGTGGAACGGAACGCGCCGTTTCTCACCGCTCGACGTCCACCCGCGATGCCCAAGAATCCTCGTCGCTTCGATACTCCGGAATTCCGTGCGACGCGAAACGTGACCGGTGTACCGGCGAAAAGGGCGCGCGCGGGATAATGGCGCGAGTGCGCGCGCGCGCGCACACACACGCACACGGTTGTTCCTGGTGACCGCAGGAACGTATCGCTGTATCGTCCTGGACGTAGACTTGTACTTATGTAGATAGACCGTACGTTTTCGTGTGCAACGGTTGATGTTGCGTCGAAGGAGAGAGATGCGTGCGGTCAGACTCATTCTCTCTCTCTTTCTCTGTCTGTCACACACTTGGGTAGGAAAAAGCGAGAGAGAGAGAGAGAGAGAGAGAGGAAGGATACGCATCTCTTCCTAAGAGCAAGCCAGATGACTAACTCTCTTCCACTTTCCTTCTCCTCAGCAGTTGTACAATTTAGATAAGGAAAGCGCCTGATTCATCACTGTTTCCTCTTTCATTTTCGTTATCTTTATCTCTCAAACTTGAGCACATAATTCACCTATATCTACATGTCTACAGTCTTGGACACCCCGCGGGCTTGCTGCCGACCGAGGTTCGTAAAGGAAGTTCCACGCACGCTCGGCACCGATGCAGGGGTGGCAAGACGTCAATTTGTCATTTCAACGCTCTCTTTTGAAAAACGTTTTCGACAGTTTGAAAATCACACCACGCCCGAACAATCACTTGTCATTCACCCGGACATTCTTTTTGCGGCAACCCTAGTAGCACAGTGCATTGACTAAACGTTGGCCCAATACAGCCAAATATTGGGTCAATGTTTAACCAATGTTTGTTCAATGCACTGTGCTACTAGGGAACGAACGCCATTTGCAATGCACAATCTTGACGAAGGCAACAGATTTCTTCGATGTTTGATAGCTTTTTTTTCATACTGACGCGCGCACTTGGCAACTTTTTAATTGTTCTTGAAGCAAAAAGGTAACTTTTAATGTCAATAGAGACGTTTGCTGGACGAGAGCCACGCGCGTCGCGAGAGACTCAAACGTTTCGAGATCCCGAGAAGAAAAGGACTTTCTTCCAGAATTCGCCGGAGCTCGAAATGTATTTTCTCGGACCAAGGTACTACAGCATTTCCGTGTCGCGTCGATAATCGGCCGGCTCGCGCGGGTCTCGTCTTTCTCCCTGCCCTTTCCTCGTTCGATATGATAAAATATTCCGATACGATAAAACATGCGACCGAGCGTCGTGAGCGCCGGCTATCTCACATTTCATCGGCACTTGGTGTCATTTCGTAAAGAACCCTGCGGCTATGCGGCCAAGTCGTCGAATTTATGCGACTTCCGGCTGCGTAATGAAGGGGGTGTCCCGGACAAGGAAAGAGATCCGACCCCCGACCTTAATTTCAAATGACTAATAGCGAATTCGGCAGCTTGCACTAGTGCGCACTGAGCACTCGCTAAAACCCATCACACAATAGGAAAGCACAGGCAATAGGAATAAGGAATAGAAATACGGAATAGCAACCATAGATATAAGAGTAGATTCTGAACGAGCCTCAAGTCTATCACACAATGTCAGACAACAGGCAATAGGAATAGGGAATAGAATTTTTGACGCGTTGGATTCGTCGGAAATTTTCTTTCAACCAGTCCAACGCATCAGAAATTGTATTCCCTGTTCCTGTTGCCTAGCATTGTGTGATAGGCTTCAGTGCGCACTAGTGCAAGCCATAGTATAACTAGTGGGTCCACTCCGTCATTTGTCTCGTTTTACGTCGATCCCTTTTGCGCGCCCGACATTGCTCTGGGCAGACCAATGAGAGAAAAGTTGCATGTGCGGTAGTGCGGCTTCGACGAATACGTGTACACACATACGTCGCTGGATTCGGTCCGAGTGTGTGGCGGAATAACCGCGTGATCGGGACCGCAAAGATCAAAGGAGTCGGTAGAGAGTGGACCTACCAGGGTGAGTTCCGTTTCACGCATCATGTGCATAAAGCCCGTGTCACACTACGTGTATTGTGGATCACGGATCGGATTGAAATTGCGGATCGCGGAGCGCAATTCAACCAATCGGATACGAGGCTGTCTCGTCTGATTGGCTGAAATGCGATCCGCGACCCTCAATCTCAATCCGATTCGCGATCTGCAATGCGTAGTGTGACACGGGCTTTAAGCCCGTATCGGACTACGAATTGAGATTGGGATTAGATTGAAATTGGGCCAATTAGAGTGAAAGTTACTGAACTTGAGATTAGTAAACTTTGCTGTGATTGGTCAAATTTCAACCCAATCCCAATCTCAAATCGTAGTCTGATACGGGCTTAACGCATTATTTGTTCTTCTTTAACATTTGGTGAATAACAAAGATAAATAATGCATCATGCGTGAAACGGAACGCACCCTCAGTTATACCACGGTGTAAGCTGTCGAATTCGCTAGAATATTCGCGGTGGCGCGTGTCGCGATCGCCCAGCGAGAAACGACTCGTCATGTATCAATATCAAAACGATGTCGATCGGACATCGTTTCGACGAATCATTTCTCACGGGGCTCGCGCGCCGCAACGGCGAAAATCTCGCGAGTCCTCCGCCCGCTTTCCTTCGCGGTTGCGAGCCGCGCGCGCGCTCGGAAGAAATCGCGAGGAAGCGATTGCTATTAAGCATCGCCGGCAATTATGAGAGAAAGTACGGAAAATGGCCGCGGCGAGGAAAGCGGCGCGGGCAATCGCAGCCGCGCCGACGTCAAACTCGTTCCCATGTTTTCGTCGCCGAGCTTTGTCCTTTTTTCCCCGTTTCCTTTCGGCGCCCGCCGGATCGATCTCCCCCGCTCGCCCGCGATTGATCGTTGACCCTCTCCGCGCGCGATAACGATCGCTGTCGTCCCCGAGCGACGAGAGAGAGAGAGAGACGAGGCGGCTTCGTCGGAAATACCGCAACGTCCGATTCCGCCGAGTCACAACGTCGCGGCACACGCGCGCCATTTCCTGCCCTTTCTCAATCT